TTATCTAAGCTTTATTTTCATTTACTTTCTAAGCTCCATCATCCTGGGCTGCAATAACACCTTGCTGGTCTACATGTAACGGTCAACGACAATCTCCCGTCAACATTATCAGAAACCAGGCAGTCTTTCAGTCAAATCTCCAAAGCTTCAGTTTCAACATTGGAGTTCAAGACAGGTTTATGGTCTCCACTCATATTAAAGGCATGTTATTTTAGTATCTTTGATACGGATGAAAATTTTAGTGTCTTGGCTTGAATTGGAAAATGATGTTTTTAAAAATTTAGCAAAGATCTTCCATTGCGTCTCGCAAGGACTTAAGATACAACGATGTAGAAAAATACCAAGTTAAAATTTGAAGGATCATATAATAATGCTTGTTCGTTTGTTTTTTAATTTCCTTTTGCCGATTGAGGACTGCAAATTTAGATCTATACTCGGCACTTAGGGCCTTAGGGACCCTTTTCGTGTCCTCACCTACTGCAATACGACATACTTTTCCAAAGGACCGGTTCCGCGTGGGATTCGAACCCGCCATGTAACGTTAAGGTCCTATAACTCCGCGACTCTACAAAAATATGAAATATTCCTATATCTTCTCTACTCAGGCGACAACTGCTTGTAATCAGATCGTAAACTGGGAGTTGATGTCTCCAATTTGATTCGATGCGCAAAAGCAATTTCTAAAACGAGACAGGCGATTGACAAAAATTTGATAAAACTAGGATATGAGCCGTTTCGTTAAAATTCATTATTCAACATTGTCGATACAATGACTTTATTTAGCAATTACAGTCTACCCTTAAATCGAATAAGGACTGACATTTTTCAAAGAAATTGTTAGCCCATTTATATTACATACTGAATTGTCTAAGGATTTCCCCTTTGTCCGATCATGACAAGGAGCGCAAGACGGTTTTTGGCCGGTCGACAGTGGATGCTTACTCCTCCATGGCACCTGATCCTACCTATGAGTTTTTTTTTCGAGGCCCGTGTTTGCTACAGAAGCTCAAATTATTATTATTATATTGGCTATCTATAAAGCTGTGCGTTGAAAAAGCTATTCAACATCGTTTAATTAAGCGTATTTTATCCAGGATTTAAGACAAGTTACAAAGTGGAGGAAGATGTAATTTTGTCTAAAGTGAACCAGTTTGGTCTTAATGGAAAATCGTTTAAGTTGGATTCTTTTCACTTCCACGCTGGGAAATTTCGTAGCAGTAAGGGATCGGAACATTCATTTGACAATGAATTCCAACCCTTGGAGGTAAGTTTACTCATTAAAACAAAAATACACTTTTATTCCTTCTTGTACCCTCGAATTTGGAAAGTGTTAATATAATCACAGGCAAAAGAACATTTTTTGCCGTTTTCTCACTATTTTTCCCCTCTACATTCTGTGAGAACATGTTTCTTTGTTTCAAAACTTTAACACTAAAATAAGATATTTGTCAAGGATTTTTATAATTTGTTGCGCCTAAAGGAAAGCTTGTAACATAATTTCACAAATAGATATGATTACCTTACATTTTTACAGATACTGGGGTATTGGTTTGTTTTCTTTTTCAGCTACATTTGGTATTCTACAACACAGAATACCCGGATGTTAAAACAGCTGCTGGTAATGCAGACGGGTTGCTAGTTATTGGTGTCATGGTACAGGTATGATTAAATGACATATATCGGTTTGTGCTGTTCCTCATTAAAAATACTGATTTCCCTAAAATTTACTTGTCAAAAATTTGAATGTCTTACATTAATACAAAAATGAAAAAAAAAATAAAATAAAATTGTTTAACAATACTATTTTCACAGGTATATCCTGGCTTTTCGCTGACACCCTTCCCTGGTTGTGAAAATGATTATAAAAGGACCTTAAGTAACCTTATGGGTGAAACACTGTCCAGCACTGAATATCCTGGTAATCATTCTCTCTCTCTCTCTCTCTCTCTCTCTCTCTCTCTCTCTCTCTCTCTCTCTCTCTCTCTCTCCCTCTCTCTCTCTCTCTCTCATAAGACCTTCACCCACCCACCAGTTGACCACCCCTGTTCCGAAACACACACTCACGTTTAATGCTTCTTTTTTTAGATTCCTCGAGCTCTGAAGAAACCGATTCCTTCATACGCTTAAAGAATTTATTGCCATCCAATCGGGGAAGTTACTACACCTACCAAGGATCTTTGACCACGCCTCCTTGCTCCGAGGCAGTCACGTGGGTGCTGATGAAGTGTCCAATCATCGTCTCAAAATCTGTAACTATTTACGTCTTCCGAAGACACATTCCTGCTTTATTTACACAACTAATATGTATATGCACAGTATTGTATTTGATAAAACCAAATATATCACATCCTTCTAAACTCAAGTTATTTCTCTGCAGTTACTATAGAGAATAAACTACTGTATATTCTATGTTCATGTATATGCGTGAAGAAAAAAAACTTAGGTCTGGGAAAAAAATTTGAAACTTGACATTATTTGGCATAAAACTTTTAAAACCTTGATGAACTATGAGAAAAAAAATATAATTGTTACTAGCAATAGTATAACTCGATTGTTAATAGATTTTTCAAGCTTAAAGCAACAATTAGAACATTGATGCTTTGTAATATCTGTAAATGATACCAAAACAATTCATCAATTATTAGTGTTGAGGTATTATACGAGTTTTATCGTTTTTAACAGGCGTTGAAAGCTTTTCAACAACTCGAAATTTCCAGCACCGGAGAGCGATTGGGTGTATACGGAAACCACCGACCAATACAAAGAGATCAACAGAACACGCCTTTCACAGTGCTAAAGAACTTTTGATTTTGTTGTAGTTATCTTAATTAATATAAACAACACTTGAAATTAAACAGATTTCAATAAAGCAAAATAAATAGTCATTCACAAAATTGTCTTTTTTTTATTTGTATTTAACAGTTTTAGATGAAGGGGGAGAAGACTTATTTAGGCCATGACTGATGTCCAATCCAGTTATGTAAATTGACTTTAATTAAAATATTAATTGAAGTTCAAACATAACTTTTACAGTGATCAATGTTTCGAACACTACACGGATCCTATAAGCTAGAGTGACTAATTCTAATTTCAATATTTCGAATATATACTCGGATATCTCAATATTTTTCTTGACACCATCGAGTTGGATATAATAAGATTTGACTGTGTGATTTCAAAATTTTAAAGTTGCTTTATAACACGTACAAGCATATTTGTATGCTTCACAGACAATAGACGATAAGGCAACTCCAAGTTTGTTTTTCTTTTTTATATATATATATATATATATATATATATATATATATATATATATATATATATATATATATATATATATATATATACACACATATATATATATATATATATTATGTTAAGCGTGCGCATGCGCCTTGGTTTTTGACATTCCATGCGAGAAAAAAATAAAACGAAATGCGGAGTCAACAAATCGATTATTCTGATCGAAATCTATGGATTCTGTCAAAGTCTCTAGACATTTGTCTACAATGTTTTATATTAGGTATATTTTGATTTCGCAAAAAAGGCCACCTTTAATAGGTAGGTCTCAAATTACATGTACATGTACTATCAAAATATTTTTTTCCAGAAATTTTCAACAAATTGGTTGACGGAATGAGAGGAATAAACAGAAAAAAATATATCGCGTCCTGGAATGGAAAAAAAGTTTAAGTCGGCCATTTTTAGTCAGTCGGTCGGATCAGAGGGCAACCAAACAATTTTTTAAAGGTGGCCTGATCTTTCTGCAAGGAAAAGAAATTAGTTTCTTTGAATCACATTATATTTATGACTTTTTAAAGTCTGTGTGTTTAATTTTTTGACTTGTATGTATTTATTTTTCTACGAATAAATGTGGGTAGGTTTTTGAAAGATGGTGAACTCGTTTAAAAAAAATTGATCGTTTTCGCTGCAAATATATTGCCTGAGTATGGAATAAATTGGGAAACATATTCAAGAGGCCCACAACGCTCACCTGAGTAACTTTAACAATGCTGTTCTTTACCAGATACCCCCCCCCCTTGCAATACCTAATGTGGTCCCTTAGTTCTTAAGAAAAAGATTTTTAAAACATCCAAACTGGTTAAACTGTACATGTATAATTCAACAGGTTTTAAAATATCCAAATGAATCAAGTTTGAGAAATCTTATTTCTCTTGACATTAAAATAGGTAGTAGTAATCTCCACACTCTAGACAAAAAAACAACAACTGCAGATTTGGTCTTCCCTGGCCAAGAAAAAAAACACAAACCCTTTAAAAAATTTATTACTTTGGTACATTTGCCCACAGAAAATATTACACAAACATTGAAAGAGATAGAGAAACAAAAGAAAAATAAATATTATAATTCTATTTTTATAATTATGCAAAAACCCAAATATTTTGTACCATGAGCTTCAATAAATGTTCAGCTGAGCAACAGATGAGTTCAATTACAAAAATTAAACAATTCATAAACATACAAAAACAAAACAAGAAACAAATGGTTTCTTAATATAGATACTTATAAATTCATTTCACAGTCAAACAGTTCTATGTTATACATATACATGTATTTGGTTTTTATTGTATTTCCTTTATTAAAATCCATGTTTTTAAAACTCTTAGAACCATACTTGAGAATGGACATTTCCAGGCAATGAGATGCTAACAGCATCAACACTTAATTCATACAATGTTTAAAGTCTTCCTGAATAATAATGGTGAAGTAAAACCATTGAATCTTTATGATTATTCCATCAATCTAAATCAGGATTTGAAGATTCATAAAACGTAAGCTACATTCCTTTTGTTGAAAATATGTCTTGACTGACCATAACTGTTTCAATATTGATTGTTCAATGTAACGTATATCACAGCAAATAACAAGACAAAGTCAGACTTCAACAGATTAACACAAGTATGTCGTAAGCAACTGGGTTGTTCCTCGTCAAAGGTCATCCCATCCGCACTTGTTAAGTTAGAATGATATAAATATAAATCATGTTTTTGTGTTTTTTCAGTTTCCTGAAAACCCCTCAGCTTCCAGACATTTGGCAATTGTGTTCAACTGAATGTTTGATGTCCCTTCATAGATGGTTCCTAAAAATTAAATTTTTATTACAATATAATTAAATTTTGTGATTAAATAGGTGTACACAGGTAATGAAGGGAATAGTATAGCAATGAGCATTTTTTCAAAGAAGCCTAATGGAATACCTACCCACTTTGCAATCCCTGTAATACTTTTCTATAGGATAATCCTTTGTAAAGCCCACCCCTCCCATCCACTCAATGCACTTAGATGTTGTTAGAGTGGCCAACTACAAGCAATCAGACAAAATAATTATCAAAAAGTTGTGCAATAAATGGTGTTTTAAAATAATAAATATTAATATAGAAAGGAATCAATTCACTATTAAAATGTGTAATTAATTTTACAGTACATATACCTCAGATGCATATAATTTTGCCATAGCAGCCTCCTTAAGGAATGGTTGTCCCGCCTCTTTCTTCCTGGCAGCATTATAAACAAGTGATCTACAGGCCTCAATCTGTGTCGCCACATGAGCTATCTGATGACGCATACCCTAAAATACGCCATGTGGTACATGTAATACATGTCTATGGAATCATTAATGAATGTGAAATATAATCTTAATTCATTTTCAATTACATCAATATCAATGTGATGTCATTTCCTGTTTGTTTTCAATGAGCCATTTTCTTAAGGTGGCATACCTGAAAATCAAATACTCTTTTTCCGAACTGTTTTCTTTCCATTGTGTAAGGAACTGTAGCATTAAAACAACCCTCTGCCAAGCCCAGCATCTAAAATATTGGATTTATCAATCAATTTATAATTGAATACTGAAAACATCACAGAAAATGTGTTTATTGAATATTGATTTTTTTTTCTACAATTGTTTTTCAAACACCTTAGATTTCTTCTGATGTACAGTAAAACATGCTTAGTATAACAAAGCACCAGGAACGACTGATTTTGCTTTGTTATATCTGTTATATTTTATGGTCATGGGTAATGAAAATTACTTCGCTGTAAGTGTCAATTCATTATAAGCTTGTTTACTTTATGTGTGTTTTACTGTATACTCACCTGAGAGGCAATCCCAATCCTTCCTTCATTTAACATTTCTATGGCATATCTGTACCCCATGCCAAACTCTCCAAGAATATTACTTGCAGGAACCTGAAGCATGTCACAATTACAGTACAATTCAAAAATGATCAAAGAATTTAAAATAAATTGTTAAAATCTAGACCAGTGATAAATGTATTTTCTGAAACTTTCTTTAATATGGTGATTATCAACAAAAGGGTGAAGATATGTGGATGCTACTGTAAGTAAATGACCTTGACATTGTCTAGATGTACAGGACAGGTGCTTGATGCCCGGATTCCGAGTTTGTCCTCCTTCTTCCCGATGCTCAGCCCCTCTGTGTCTCTGTCCACTAGGAAAGTGGTGATTCCTTTGTAACCCTGGAAAACATTTCTATAGGTTTTGTATCCTTTCCATAAATCAACAAACCAGTTCATGTGCATACTGGCCTCCAGGTACTTTGATAACAGTTAAATTAAGGTTCTTTGTTACACTGACAAGAGAGATAACTCTAACAAATAAATGACTAGTCTACTATTTCTTTATTAAATTGTTAATTTAGATGGCAAGTTTTGTCAAAAGTTTAAATAAGTGAAGAGATGATGGATCTTGAACCTTAATAAAAAATCTCTGTCAATTTAAATGTAGCTCTGGAGTCTTTTTAAAAAAGGCATACTTTTACCATGACAAGTCAAATAAAGATTTGTTAAACTCACAGCTGTTGGGTTAGCATTGACCATGACTAAGAAAACCCCTGCATGTTCAGCATTGGTGATCCAGATTTTTGTTCCGTTAAGGATGTAGTAATCTCCTTGTTTTACTGCTGCTCCACGCATGGCAAAGGCATCTGATCCAGCATCTGCCTCCGATAAACAAAAACTGCCCACCTGAGAAGTTAAAGAGAAATAGTGATAAAGCTTTAGAGTTTAGATAAAGCAAAATTTTTCTGCAATATTTTTTTTTTAATTTTCAAATCAAAGGTGGACCACTTTCAGGGATGTGCGATTTTATCGGTATACCGATGTATCGCGATTTTTTGTTGCGTGATACAGAGACGTAAATACCGGTCTTTAGCACATATTCTAAAGTCCAGAAATTATTCATTTATTTGATCAATCTTTCAAATTACAATTACAGAAAGTATAAAAAATGTTGTAAAAAGTGAAAAGAACGGCATCTTACCGTCACATAATTGATTTTATATAAAATTTCAAGAAAGTAAAATTTTGTTTTTCTAGCATATTTTTTAGAAAAATAATGACTTTTCATATAAAATCATTGTAAAAACTGCTTTTAAAAATATCATGATATTATCGTGATATTGTGGGAAAAATCGTGATATATCGCGATACGAAATTTTTGGCGATACCCATCCCTAACCATTTTTTCAAAGAAGGCTTAGGCTCATCCATCCTAAATACAATATAATATGCTTACTTATGTATGATCAAAGTTATTTTTAAAAAAAAGGTATTTTTAGAATATTGGTTACCGGTTACACATGTATGAGCAAAATGTCAAAAATGAAATGATTGACTTTCAGCAGGTCCACAACATGGCTTTAACTTATAGCATGAAAATTGAAATCTTATGCTCTACCACTTAGCTTAAGGAGTTCACTAGTGCTAGTAGCAGTGTGACTCCATAAAATACAACACACTGCCACTTTAAAGGCTGCTTCAGTCAACTGAAGTTGTGTGCATTTTGAATTTCTTTCAGAAACATTATAAACAA